TAAATAGATTGAAGTATATTCACATGCCAAGCAAGATACTGTGCAACAACTTGAATCTTAGGATTTTACTGATGTGCAGAAGTGATCTATATAGGGTTAGAAGCCGCCTTTGGGTGGGAGCAGTTGTGTAGGAATTGGAAAGGGGCATGATGGGAACTTACTGTGGCTAATGTTCAGTTCTTGGCCTGAGTGGTGGTTATTCATGTGTGTTCATGTGATGATAATTTCTTGAGCTTTGTACTTACAGTTCTGCAAGTATGTTATGCTTCAGTTTAGGTTATTTCAGTGAGATTAATATGGGTAGATTTTTTTTGTCCTTAAGTTTTCTAGAAATGTTAGGAAAATAGATTCAATTAAGAATACATTTGCGGGGCACCTGGGTGGATGGGTTGGTTAAGCATCTGACTCTTGGTTTCTGCTCAGGTCATGATCTCAGGGTCATGAGGTTCCATGCTGGGTGTGGAGCCTGCCTGAGATTCTCTCTCTCCTTCTCTCTGTCCATTCCTTATACCACATGTGCCCAAATGTGCGCTTTCTCTCTCTCAAAAATAAATTCATTTGCTACTTTTTGGATAGTACTGTGTTTTGCTCTAACACATCTTTGAGTAACAATTGATAAAGAATGGATTTGATTTTTTCAGTCTGAATTTATGCATTCGTAATCCATTCATGCTTTTGGTGCCAGTATAATTATTTTATTTTTCTATTTTTTTTTAATAATTTGAGTATAATTGACACACAATGTTACATTAGTTTCGGGTGTGCAACATAGTGACTCAACGCATTTATACATTATGCTATAATCACCACATATGTGGCTACTGTCTGTTTCCATACTTCACTATAGTGTTTTTCATTTCTGTAACTTACCCGCTCTATAACAGAAGGCTGTATTTCCCAGTCGTCTTCTCCCATTTTGCCCAACCCCCCACACCCCTCCCCTCTTTGCAACCATCAGTTTGTTCTCTGTATTTATAGGTTTGATTCTGCTTTTTGTTTATTCATTTGTTATTGTTTTAAATTCCACTTATGAGTAAAATCATAAGGTATTTGTCTTCCTCAGTCTGACTTATTTCACTTTGCATAATACTCTCTAGGTTCATGCATGTTATCTCAAATGGCATGATCTTACCCTTTTTTATAAGTGTGATATTCGTCTGTGTATGTGTGTGTATACATACGTATACCTCCCCCCCATCTTCCATATTCATTTGTCTATTGATGGACACTTAGGTTGTTGCTTCCATATCTTGGCTATTGTAAATAATGCAGTGATAAACATAGAGTGCATATATCTTTTAAAATTAGTGTTTTTGTTTTGTTTGGGTAAATACCTAGTAGTGGAATTATTAGATCATATGGTATTTCCATTTTTAATTTTTTGAGAATTGTTTTTCTACTCTTATTCATGCAGTGGGGAACTAATCCTCATCTGAATTAACAAATGGATTGAATTTATTACATATAGTGTTGGTAATATATTTTTATATTCTGTAGTAAATACGATAGGGCATATTTCAGTTATTTTGCTGTATTTTGTTAGCTGCCATATATTTTAGCTGCTTTCAGTTAAAAATTTTCTCCATACATTTATGATCTTTTCTCTGTCTTAAATTATAACTTCTGTACCGTACATATTTCTTCCTTTGGGCATTTGAAAAACTAACAAGATGTTTTTTCTTTAGTCTAAATTTCCTCTTGGTTTTGGTGAATTTCTAGCTAAACTAAAATTCCTTGCACAATTGGATATCCACATACAAAAGAATAAAGTTGAACCCTTACCTCATACCATGTACAAAATTTGACTAAAAATAGATCATTCACCTAAATATAAGGGGTATAAAACTAAAACTCTTAGAAGAAAACATAGGGCTAAATCTTCATGGCCTTGGGTTTGGCGATGGATTCTTAGATATGACACCAAAAGCTCAGACAACAAAAGAAAGGAATGGTTAAATTGTAATTCATTAAAATTAAAAACTTTGGTGCAGCGAAGGACATTATGAAGAAAGTAAAAAGATACACCACAGAATGGGAGGAAATATTTGCAAATCCTATATCCAGTATCAGGAATATATAACAGGTTTGATGTTCTGATACATAAAGAGTTATAACAACTCAGCAGCAAAAACTCCAGAAGTGGGCAAAGGATTGAAAGACTTTTTTTTTTTTTTTGAGAAGATTTTATTTATTTATTTGACAGAGAGAGACACAGCGAGAAAGGGAACACAAGTAGGGGGAGTGGGAGAGGGAGAAGCAGGCTTCTTGCGGAGCAGGGAGCCCCATGCAGGACTCGATCCTGGGACTCCAGGTTCGGGACTCCAGGATCATGACCTGAGCCGAAGGCAGACGCTTAACGCCTGAGCCACCTAGGCGCCCCAAATAGACATTTTTCTAAAGGAGATGTGCAAATGGCTAATGAGCACATGACAAGATGTGCAGTGTCATTAATTATTAGAGAAATATAAACCAAAACCACAATGAGCTGCTTCACACTCTCTAGGATGGCTATAATAATAATAATAAAAATGAAAAATAACAATTGTTGACAAGGATGTGGAGAAAATAGACTTCTCATACACTACTGATGAGAATGTAAAATGTTTCAGCTGCTGTGAAAAACAGTTTGGTAATTCCTCAAAAAGTTAAACATAGAATTACTGTGTGATCCTAGATATATACACAAAAGAATAGAAAACAGATATTCAAACAAATATTTGTATGTAAATGTTTATAACAGCATTGTTCATAATAGCCAAGAGGTTGAAAAAACCCATATGCCCGTCAACAGATGAATGAGTTGTGCTATATACATATAGTGGATGTTATGTAATCACAAAAAGAATGAAATAATGATACATGCTACATTGAGAATGAGCCTTGACAACATTATGCTATTGTGAAATGAGCCAGACACAGAATGTTATATGAGTCCATGTTTATGACATGCCCAGAATACCAAATCTGTAGAGACAGAAGGCAGGTTGGTGGTTGCCAGGAGATGGGTACAGGAGGAAATGGGGAGTAACTGAACAGTGGGAACCAGACTCTTCTTTTGGGGTGATGAAAGAATTTTGGAACTTGATAGAGGTGGTGGTCGCAGAACATTGTGAATTTACTAAATGGCACTGAATTGTTCACTTAAAATTGTTAGGTAAATTTCACCTCAGTAAAGGTAGATAAAACCTAGTTCCCAAATACATTGCCATCATATATAATAAATCAACATACTATTGTTGATTTAGTCATGGCAATACCAGAAATGATGAACTTAGTTTTATCACCTTTGATTTCCATGAATATTTAAATGTGTTCTTTTATTTTAGAGTAAACTACAGCGTTGAATTGATTTCAAGCTTTTAGTTACATATCTGTTAAAAAGTATGTTCAATTAATCAGTGAACTTCTATTTAGCCTTCAGTATTTTTCCTGATATTTTATATAAAACAGCTTTCTTAACATTTTCTAGAGATTTGGTTGACTATTATAAATGATACAGATAGCTCTTTTGGCTTATAGTTAGAATTGGATGGTATTATTATGATGTAATTATATGATGCATTGTTTACTTTGAGGCCATATGAAAGTGGATTTTTGTACAACATGATGACCATGGGTTTAATAGACTTAAGTTATATTTTCAAATGATCCAAGGAAGCTATACATAAATGATAAAACTGAAACAGTGGTAATTTGTATTTTCATTGTTGTTAGATTAAATCTATTTTGAACCAGGGGTTTACCCATGGCTTGCATGTTTGTTCAAGATTTATAGTCACCAGTTTCTGATTGATACGAAATCTCATGAAATTATTTGTGGTCCTGTGATAGACATTCTTTACAAAGACCAAATAAATTTTGAAAATTACTCAGTATTGCACTTAAGAGTTTCTTATTTTTGCATATGACACATTTTTGCTGACTGCTTAATCATGAATATCTAGTATGTGTGTACCTGTGTCAGTCAAAAAAAAAATCTATTTCGCCCATTCCCCTACCCATTTCCCCTCTGGCAACCACCAGTTTGTTCTCCGTGTTTAAGAGTCACATGTGTGTGTCAATTTTAATATTTGTTCTTAGTACCTTGAAAGATCAGGAACCAAGTGTGTCATTGTGTATAGTACCATGCCTTTTTGATGATAAAATTATTTTTATTAACATGGCTTAAAATCGTTCCCAGTGTTGTTTATTTCCAGCATATTTCCTTATCTAGTTCATAGAATTATTTTTTAAAAAAGATTTTATTTATTTATTTATTTGACAGAGAGAGAGAGACACACACACAGTGAGAGAGAGAACACAAGCAGGGGGAGTAGGAGAGGGAGAAGCAGGCTTCCCGCAGAGCAGGGAACTTGATGTGGGGCTCAATCCCAGGACCCTGGGATCATGACCTGAGCCGAAGGCAGACGCTCAATGATTGAGCCACCCAGGCACCCCTAGTTCATAGAATTATTAATGGTGTTAATAAACTGGAAACAATGAAATTGTGTTAATATATTCCGAGTACAATTGTGAAGATTATAAATACAAGCCTGTAATTTTCGCATCTGTGACAAGTCAAGCTAGCCTGCTTTTGTTAACATTGGGTATTTTCCTTTATCATTGTGATTATTTTTAAATAAGTATGTTAAATGTCACTAGTTTCCTATACTTCAGTCTCAGCAAATGGTCTGGATTTAAGCATAGATAATATTGTCCTCTGCTTAAAGTCATATGTGATTATATGTAGTATACCGCCTCTAAAAACAAAGGATGCTGAGAAGACATTAAGAACTGGGCATTATTTGTTGCTCGGAAGCTTATTAGTGGTCCTCCTTCCCACCAAAGTAAGCTTTTTTAGATATTTAAGCTTACTAAATTATAACTTTAAAACAGTGAACACATACACAGATAATGTCTCTCTGTTTCACACATTTTCAGCCTGATGTGAGTTATAAGAAATAGAAAAACCTAAATAATTTTGATTGTTAATAACTTGTTAAATATTTTTAAATAACCAGATGAAAAATCAGTACTGGAACAGAAACCTTCTAAACCAGCCGCTCCACAAGTCCCACCTAAGAAGCCTACTCCACCCACCAAAGCCAATAATTTATTGAGATCTCCTGGAACAGTATACCCAAAGCGACCTGAAAAACCAGTCCCTCCACCACCTCCTATAGCCAGGTAAGTTTTACCTAATTTTAATTTAGGTAATTTTAATTTAGTTAACTTACCTAATTTAGTTTATTGGTTACCTGCCTTTGACATAAATGCTTTTCTTTTTTTTTCTTTTTTTAAAGATTTATTTATTTATTTGACAGAGACACAGCGAGAGAGGGAACACAAGCAGGGGGAGTGGGAGAGGGAGAAGCAGGCTTCCCACTGAGCAAGGAGCCCGATGTGGGGCTCCATCCCAGGACCCTGGGATCATGACCTGAGCCGAAGGCAGACGCTTAACAACTGAGCCACCCAGGCGCCCCTGTATTGCTTTTCTAAATGTCAAAATAATTTTTAAAGTATTTGTTTTCCAGATTTTTTCTATAGACTATAATGATTCTCTGTTAAATGATTTATATTCATACTAGGTAAATACACACCTATCAGGCTGTTTTTACGTTTCGATTTTATTGTGTTTAGTGTTATTGTGGAGGTGTATGTTTATGGAAATAATTTGTGGAACAGAAAGAAAAATTATTGTGCTATAACATCTTTAGTGTCATTAATTCACAGTGTTAAAAAATGGTTATGATTCACATACAAGTGATTTGTACATATGTTTGATTTTCTCATTTCAGGATTAATGGGGAAGTTTCTACCAATTCATCAAAATTTGAAACTGAGCCAGTATCAAAACCAAAGCTAGATTCTGAACAGTTACCACTTAGACCAAAATCAGTAGACCTAGATTCATTTACATTTAGGAGCTCTAAAGAAACAGGTAAGTTAACATGTAGAAGGGTGGTACATTTAAAAAAAAGTTGCCAATACAGTTTTCAGAAACTAAGAAACTTGTGTATGTATTTTATGTGTGGATAGATAGAGTAGAAATTAATTAAAATTTGTTTAAAATCTATGAAGCCAAAAGAGAAAAATAAAACTAAAAGAAGATAAATGAGCAAAATACTTGATTCATGTAAGGACTGAGAAATGGGTTAAAAGATCATTTATCATATATTCTGTCCCCTTGTAATGGAATGTCCATACTAAGGCAGATATGAATACATTTTAGTTTTAAAAGTTTAAGAATAAAGAGATAACACAGATTATCAGTGCCCAGCACTAGATTATATTGAAGATTATTTTTACTTCTTTACTTTATCTCAAGATACTTTTGTTTTTAATTCAGGAAAATACACTTTTTATGTCTCTCTCTCTCTTTGTGTATGTGTATCAGCAGGCTTTACTTCTTTAGTTAAATGTTGTTCCTTAAGTTTTAGGACTGATTTTTCAACTCATCAATCATCTTTGTCTCCTGGTCTTTATACCTCTTAGTTGTAAAATGGAAAACCTGAAACAGAGCAGTTTTGATAAAGGTCTCAATATTAAAAGCATAGCGCAATCATTACTTTGTAGTAATGATTATTGTGTAGTACCTTGCATTTGGTTTTAGTTTTTTTTTTTACATTTTCAAAGCACTTTCTCATATATATTCTTATTTTATCTTAATAGTAACTCTAAAAGGCAGACGCTATTTTGCTTCTAAAGAAATTAAGCTATAGACGCATCAAGTGTCCAAGATGACATAAAGCAGAAGAGAACTTTTTAAGTCCCCTTTATATAAATGCTCATGATATTCTTTTAAAAGTGTTAATGTCTTAGTATGTTTAGCCTTCGTGTTAACATTTCATATTTACATTCAGACTTAAAGGCCAATTATACTCAGGGGTTTTTTTTGTCACTGTATTGTAAGATACGCTACTTACTACCTTTTGAAAACTGTTAGGTGATTTTATTACTTTTTTGAATTGTCATTTTGCCAATACAAAAGCTCTGACCTACACATGTTCTCCTTCAGTTTTTTAATTTGAATGTTTTATAGACCCTTTCATCATATATTTGGATCCTGCCTGCTCTGGATGAAGCCATATTCATTAATAATTTCTGGAAAATGAGATGTTGATTGTATTTTGGAGACATTCACTCAATTATATTTAGTGTGTTGTATCTGGTGAAAATTGTTATTTACTGTTAGTGAAATAAAAACAAAAAAATGTTCTTTATAGAAGGTTTTTAAAAAATATCCTTTAGGGGCATCTGGGTGGCTCAGTCGATTAAGCGACTGCCTTCAGCTCAGGTCATGATCTCAGGGTCCTGAGATCGAGCCCCACATTGGGCTCCCTGCTCTTTGGGGAACTTGCTTCTCCCTCTCCCTCTGCTGCTCCCGCTACTTGTGCTCTCTCTCTCTCTCTCTCAAATAAATAAAATCTTAAAAAAAAAAAAAAAAGTAACACATGTAATAATGTCAAACTATTGGTGGTTTGTAAAGTTTGATTTTTTTACTCTTTTTGGTCCCAATTTTTACCTTTATCCATATCCATTATTTACTCGTCATTAAAAAACAAATAGGTCTTATTATGAAACAGGGTTTGCAAATTCCTAATTTCTGTTTTGTGTTTTTTTTTTCTTCAAATGAATAAGGAAGTGATTTAGAGAAGCTGAGACATATGTAAGGACAGAAAACTAACAGCTAACTTCCATACTGCTGTCCTTTATTCCTTCGACTATCAGGCTGCCTGCCTTTGGTGTACTACACTTAACACCCAGTTAAGTTCAGGAAATACACAAAGCATACCACAGAGATAATTGAGAGTTCCATTCCAGACCACTGCAATAAAACAAATATTAAAGTGAGTCAAATGAATTTTTTGGTTTCCCATGCATATAAAAGTTACGTTTAGACTATGCTATATTAAGTGTGCTTTAGCATTGTGACTAAAAAAACGTACCTACTTTAAAAAATAATTTTATTGCTAAAAAATGGTAACCATCATCTGAACTTTTAGCAAGTCATAATCTTTTTGTTGGTGGGGGGTCTTGTCTTAATGCTGATGGCTGCTGACTGATCAGGGTGGTGGCTGATGAAGGTTGGGGTGGCTGTGGCAATTTCTAAAATAAGACAACAATGAAGTTTGCCACGTCAATGGACTCTTCCTTCCATGAACAGTTTCTTTGTAGCATGTGATACTGTTTGATAACATTTTACTTACAGTAGCACTTTTTTCTAATTGAAGTCAGTCCTCTCAAACCCTGCCTCTGCTTTATCAACTGTGTTTATCTACTATTCTCTATGTTTTATTGTCATTTCAACAATTTTCATAGCATCTTCACCAGGAGTAGTTTCCATCTGAAGAAACCACTTTCTTTGCTCATCTTTAAAGTTTTATCATGAGATTATAGCAATTCAGTCACATCTTCAGTCTCCGCTTCTAATTCTAGTGCTCTTGGTATTTCCACCACATCTGCAGTCACTTCCTCCTCTGATGTCTTGAACCCCTCAAAGTAATCCGTGAAGGTTGGAATCATCTCCTTCTAAACTCATGTTTGACCTCTCCCATAAATCCCTAGTGTTCTTTCTTTTTTTTTTTTTAAAGATTTTATTTATTTATTTGACAGAGAGAGACACGGCGAGAGAGGGAACACAAGCAGGGGGAGTGGGAGAGAGAGAAGCAGGCTCCCGCCGAGCAGGGAGCCCGATGCAGGGCTCGATCCCAGGACCCTGGGATCATGACCTGAGCCGAAGGCAGACGCTTAACGATTGAGCCACCCAGGCGCCCCAATCCCTAGTGTTCTTAATAGCAGCTAGAATCATGAATGCTTTTCAGAAGGTTTTTAATTTACTTTGTCAAAAGCCATCAGAGGAATCATTATCCATGGAAGCTGTAGTGTTATGAAATGTATTCCTTAAATAATAAGACTTGAAAGTCAGAAGAAAGTCACAATTACTCCTTAATCGGGCCACAGAATGGATGTTGTGTTAGCAGGCGTGAAAACAAGATTAATCCTGTACATCTCCATCAGAGCTCTTGGGTAACAAGAACCTTCTGAGCAGTAGGTCTCAACAGTGGGATTAAAATATTGAGTAAACCGTGTTGTAAACAGATGTGCTGCTATCCTTTTTTGTTGTTCCATTTATAGAGCACAGATTTAGCATAATTCTTAAGGGCCCTAGGAATTTCAGAATAGTAAATGAGCGTTGACGTTAGCTTTCACTAGCTGCATTAGTCTCTAACAAGAGAGTCAGGCTGTCCTTTAAAGCTTTGAGGCCAGGCATTGGTTTCTCCTCTCTGGCTATGAAAGTCCCAGATGGCATCTTCTTCCACTCTAAGGCTGTTTCATCTACATTGAAAATCTGTTGTTCAGTGAAGCAACCTTCATTGATTAGCTAGATCTTCTGTATAACTTGCTGTAGCTTCTGTATCAACACATACTGCTTTCCCTTGCACTTTTATGTTATGGAGATGACTTCTTTCCTTAAACTCCGTGAACCAACCTCTGCTAGCTTCAGACTTTTTTTTTTTTTTTTTTTTTTTTGCAGCTTTCCCACCTCTCTCAGCCTTCACAGAATTGAAGAGAGTTGGGGCCTTGCTCTGGATTAGGCTTTGGCTTAAGGGAATGAATGTGCCTGATTTGATTTTTTTTATCCAGACTACTACTGAAACTTTCTCCCTGTCAGCTTGTTTACTTTCTGTAATTTATGTGTTCATTGGAGTAACACTTTTAATTTTCTTCACGATCTTTTCCTTTGCATTCACAATTTGGCTAACTGGTGCAAGAGGTGTAGCTTTTGGCCTATCTCGGTTTTCTGTATGCTTTCCTAACTAAACTTAATCATTTCTAGCTTTTGATTGCAAGTGAGATATGTGTGACTTTTCATTTTACTCCAACACCTAGAGGCCATTGTAGGGTTACAGATTGCCCCAATTTCAATGTATTGTGTCTGAGAGAATAGGGAGGCTTAAAGAGAGTGAGAGAAATGGGAAACACCTTCACTGTGGAGCAGTCAGAACATATACACCACTTACAAAATTAAGTTAAACATCTTACATGGGCACAGTTCGTTACAGTTACAATAGTAACATGAAAGATCACTGATCACAGATGACCGTAACAAATATCATAGTAATGAAGAAGTTTGAAATACTATGAGAATTACCAAAATGTGACAGATCTGCAGTGCTGTTGGAAAAATGGCATCGATAGACTTGCTCATCGCAGGGTTGCCGTCAACCTTCAATTTGTAAAAAATGGAGTTATCTGCAAAGCACAGTAAAATGAGAAATTTCATGTTTGTGTTCATATTACATAGGGAATATATACTGAGCAAGTGTTATATCCCATTACTATTTTAGGCACAAATAATATGCTAAGACAAAAGGCCTGACTGCTATAGCATATAGCTCATGTTCTGAACTTCAACTCAGGTTATTACTCATTTCCATTTTTTTTTGGAATATTATGTTTTTAGTCTTTGTAGTGCAAAAGTGTTTAAACTCTTTTTTTGAGATATTGACACCTTAAAAAAACACTGTGTTCTGCATCAAATACAGCCTCAAATTTTGCATTAGGTTGAGGCATATTTTAATTTATATTTTTCGCACAGTTAGAGGTTTCAAATTTTTAAAATAGCATATGAACCTAGCCCTTTAACATGTTTCAGAAAGTTTAAAATATACATGAAAATCTTCTTAGAACAGTCTCATTATTACACAAAATAATAATTTCAGGTGATGATATAGTAGCAAGTATACTTTGTTATTAAAAATGTGGGTTTTAAATTGTTAGCTCATTTATCATTGTCTTGTTTTTGCACTTAAATGGTAATTGAATGATCCAATATGTTTATGATACCTACTAGAATACCTGACATGGAAGATGTTATAAAATGTTACTTCCCTTTTCCTTTCCTCTGTTGTTCATATCATCTTATTCTGTTTCTGCTCTTCCCTATAAAATAGGATATAAATTCCTGACACTACTCTCAGATATGATTGTACTGTATATAAAGCCATTTATAAACTGTTTTTAAAATAAATGTCCTTCAGTATATATTCTCATATATGATAGTACTATAAATTGCATAGTTGTTAGAACATGTTTTAATTTTTTCCTCTTTTTCATTAAAAAGTGGTTTAGAATAATCTCACTGCTACTACTGGTCAATTATAAAGTTCACATGGTCTAAATATTTCTAAAATAATAAGTTCTCTGGGACATAAAATTGGTTTACACGTTAGTCTTAAAATACAAGATAGAAGATTTGGTGGTAACACACATATTAAAGCACAGCTGATGAAGTATTCTTAGAGTGTTATATTATCCTTTTTGATTGTTTTCTATGATAAATTCTTCTTGGGTTAAAAGGAAATTTTAGAGGTACATAATATTATTTGATCCCAAAGCATTCATTGTTAAATAGTGAAACATTCTTTGTTTTGTTTGATAATCTATTTTTTGAATTACGTTCTCAATGTTTATTCATTTATTTCTTCCAGAAAGAGTTTAAGGTGGAATTTTTCTAATAAGATGCTTACCTGTTGAGTGGTAGATACTATAAAAAATGAGTCTATATCTAAACTAGGTTACAAAAACAAAACACACCCAAAAATATAGAATTTACCTGGAGAATTAAGAGCAGAGATTAAAATTATTATTTTCTTACAGTAATTTTCTTGATAATTCCTTTATAGCGCCATATAAGGCATAATTGAAGATTCATTTATGGATTATGTGATTTTAAATGTATAAGTTGTATTTTTATAGTGAGATATTTAAAAATACTATTTGTCATGTTTTTCTTTTATTATAGAACTAAAATTGTCTCTTTCATTTAATTACTGTCATATGCTGAAGACTAAAACTTGACTGGAAGGTAGTTTAATTTTAGTTATAACTATATTAATGAGTTGTTAATATATTGATTTGTTACTCTGACCTCTAATTTTTTACTAAAACATCCTTTTGAAGCTGTCTTGGTGTTCAGTGAGTAATTTTAAAAAGGCTTCTTTCTACTTATAATATATTGAAATTAATACTAATCACTTTTTCTTTCCAAAGATAAATCTAAAATCTAATACACATGTGAGTTTAGATAAACTGCAGTAGGTATATGCTAAACATTGAAATGGTTCTATTCATTCTACAACTGTTCTTTTTTCCTGCTTTGTAAAATAATTTTTTTGATTTAGTCTTTTTTTCTAGACATTCCTATCCTTGACTTTTCTTTCCAGATTTTGTTTCCTAGCCTGTTTGCCATGTTTCCCTTCTTACGTGTCAGGAAATTATCCTACCTTTCTCCATTTTGGTAAGATGACAATTTATAAAAGAAATCAAAACAATATATTCCATATAAATAGGTGGTGCACATTGATTTTTCTTTGTAATTGTACTAAAAGTGTACATGTTTGTCTGTCTATTCTAACCCTTTTGGTTTTCCATTTGAAAATAAAATGAAATTTATGTTGGAAAAATTTTCCTGATTAAAGATATTCTTTCGATAAAAGGTTTTTTTTTAATTGAAAACCATAAAAGTCAGTTTATTTTCTACCAAAATTTGATATTTCATTTTGACTTTTTAAAAAATTTTGTGTCTTCTTAGGCAATGTATAGAAATGTAAATGGCTGGCAGAGTGGCAATATAATGGGAAGAGTTAAGTGATTGTCATTCCTTTCATGCCATGTGTACAGTATAAATCCACTCTTATTACTCTTAGGTAAATTTTAAATGTGTTCAAATATATCATGAGTCCAAAATGTGCACTGTTTTATTTTACTAACCTAATGGCTTACATGGAGGACCTGAGAAAGTTTTAGAATAGTAAAATTATTTGTCTTGGTGGTGTAGCCCAAAACTGGACATATGGAAGGCATTTTTACATGAGCATGGTCTATAATTTTATAAATCTACCTTTTATTTATCCTTTCAGTTTCATTTATCTTCATCCCTTCCTATGTTTTTCTGTTTCTTTTTCTTTCTGCAAGTTGCTTAAATATGCATTTGAAAATAATCTTCACAGGCCAAAGTTACTGAATTGTACTTTTCAAGGTTTTTTTTTTTATAGGTTGCCAATGTACATTTATCAGTGTTAAAAGCAATTTTTAACCCTTCAAACTACAGCATATTTTTAACATTTTTTAAAATACTGATTTTCTTTATGAAATTTACAAATAAAATGAAATATTTAAAAATATATTAAACTCAAGGTCTTTCACATTATATAATGTATTTTCCATTAAAGCCACTGTCTCCTATTATGGTTTGTTATATTTTATAATTATAAACAATTATCAAAAGACTCAAGACCAGAATTAAACTGAGCACATTTGATTGCCTGTTGTGATGTATTAGCCTGGTAAGCAGATGACTAGATATAAGATAGAATTCACAAAGTAATCCCACAATGGGAGGATGGAAAAGAATTAACAGAGGTCAACAAATACTTAAATTTGTTACAAAACACATATTGCCAAACAGTGATAACTTTTCTTGTGTCTTACCTTTGTGCCCTTTTACTCTTAACATTTTTTTCTAAATTGATTACTTTGAATATGAAAATTGATGAATAAGCTTTGAGGGCAGTAATAATAATTATCTTTAGATGTCTTTTAAGAAATAACAAATCACTGAGTTTGGATATCTAAATATTTGACAGAAATCATTATAAACATCTAAGCAATGGGAATGTGCAGAATTAATTCTGTATTTGGAAGACTAAACCAAAGATATCTGCTGCCATATCAAGTATCTCAACTGTGATTAATATCCCTAGTTTGGAATCTGGGCTAAAAGAAGATTATATTGACAATGGAAGTGTCTGGAGTTATCCTTAGGATTCTCATATCACTTACACCTTTCTAGGTTTCAATAAAAATCACCTTTTTCAGCAAGGTTTCCTGGATCATATAGAAAAAAGGAAGGTATTATATGCCATCATTTCAAAGATAAAAATTACATAGATAGGTTTAAAGAAACCCAAGTCATTGGATCAAAGGTCAACCAACCTTTGATACTGGTAAAACAAGTGAATGATCTTTGTAGCATTTTTCCTTGATATCCTGTTTGCCTTAGATTTATAATTGTCTTATAGTTCCCAAACAGCTGATGTTTAAGCAAAAGTGCAGTGAACTATGAACAGTTTGAGTCCCAGCTACAAAGCAGTGTGTGTATACACACACACACACACAGACACACACACGCACATATATAAAGATCCATTAAATTACACTTTCACCTCACAGTTGGAAAGCGTCAGGGTCCCACATACAGTTGAGTTCTTAAAATTTGAATATTAGGATACTACTTGAAATTTAAAACATTTTATGTGTTAATTTTCTGATATATTGTAATTAATTATAAGTTGAAGTAGATCATCTGTTTTTACAAGCAAGAACTTAAGATGACAGTTTTTTTATGATACTGTAATTTTTGGTTCAGATTTGTATTTTTCAATAAGTTTTTTTGAGGTCTAACTTAGAAACATGAACTTTCTATTGTTAGTAAAGTCTTATGCTATAAAATGTACCAGGTAAAGAGGATGTTTGTTTTTAAGGGTGAGTGTTGTTTTCCAAATGCATATGAAAAGCACAGGTTAACTTGTGAGTCCTAGTGGTACTTTTTAATGTATAGTTTGTTAGAAATCCAGAAACTTTCTTTTTTATCTTTTAAGATGTACAGTTATGTCTTAGTAGATATGTTTAATTTTATTCTGCAGATCTTGTAAATTTTGATGACATAGCTTCCTCAGAAAACTTGCTACATCTCACTGCAAATAGACCGAAGATGCCCGGAAGAAGGTTGCCGGGCCGCTTCAATGGTGGACATTCTGTGAGTTACACTTACTGTTCTAAAACACAGAGAATTTAGCAAATCCAGAATCCTTCTAAAGATAGGAACAAGGAGGATTTGTAACTCCACCAAAGTTTAAAAATCAGGAAGATAGTTATTATACTCAAGTGGCAAATGGTTGGTTGTATTTAGGGAGTTACGGGGTCATGTTCATTTCAGAGAGGGTTGCAATGGAAGATTACAGAATCGGGAATAAAGAGCTATCCTGAGACCATAACCACAAAGCACATGTAATCAAAAGGGGTCAGGGTACCCATGTAATCTACCCATCTCACAACAATAATTAGAATTGAGTGGTACATATTCACCTTAGGAAAGAATGAGAACATTCTTTTCCTCTGAAATAGTGGGTTTTTTTTGTAGTACTAATGCTGGTATCTAAATGTGTAGCTTCTTTTTATGTTTTCTATACATTGCCTGGAATGCTGGTAGTATTTTATTATTAATATATTAGCTCTTGAGCGCTATGGTGCTTTTAAATTACCGAAGTAGAGAAAATTTTTGTTGCTAAGAGGCAGGCTATTTTTACTTTCCAGATATGCAAGTGTGTTATTCAGCTTGAAATTATGTAATATCCTGTTAATAATAATGGAATATCTGGAACAGTAGGTGCTGAAAACAGTGATAAAAATTACTTAGTTTATCATCCAAATGTTTATTGCCTTTTCCTTCTTTGGTATTTTCTGTTTGTTGATTTTAAAAAATCATTCAGCCAACTCAAAGCCCAGAAAAAATCTTGAAGTTACCAAAAGAAGAAGATGGTGCCAACTTAAAGCCATCTGAATTTAAAAAGGATTCATGCTATTCTCCAAAGGTGAGGGGCATGGTGGCCTAAGATTTGTATAATTTGTAGGATTCTTTGTGAACACCAAAATTGTAGAATTTAAAGTGTCTTCTAATAATTATTTCTTCTGCCAAGAAATAAAAAAATTCTTGCTAAAAAATGGAGTTACTAAAGTCACACTGTCCTCTGTAGGTCATTTTTTAAAAGAGCTTATTTTAAATGAGTAGTATAAATGTTACATGTTTCATATTTTTTAAGGCATAGATCTATCCATCTGTTTCATTTTCCCATTAAACATACACTCTTTAGGCCAGAAGCCATCATTTGTTTACTCCTGACCTAGCATGGTGCACTGAATATATACTGGAATGAATGGCAGTATACATGGATTCTACCATTTATTACATGGTGTTAAGACTTTTCTAAACTCTTGGATTTTTATTTAAGATAGTATTATCACAACCTATACACATCTTATATTTATATGAAATTAGTGTTTCCTCCTCAAATTCATTCCAAGCAGCATTTGGCTGCTATTCCAGTTTATCAGATACACTTAATCTGATTCCCTCAACTTGTCAACAGTCGATTGAAATTTTACTTCCTGTTATTTTAGTGAAATAGTAAAAAGGGCATCAGGCCATGGATTCATTTTAATGCCTCTTCCATGGACTTATTCAATTCTTCATAATTACTTTTAAGTGAAATTTAAATAATGACTATTTGAAGTGGAGGATCAAAGCAGCACCTTAATAATGCTGATATATTCTTGCCTCTAGATGCTCCACTCGGCAAACCATTCATAAGATAAATCTAATAGGTTTTTCTTTTCCACTTTTAAAAATTATTATTAATAAATCTTTTGACATTTCTCACATAAACTAGTGATTACAAGTTTATTCTTTGGTTGTTTGGTGGTTTTACTAGTTGTGAATATCAAGCTGCTTTTTGAATTTCCAAAGTTACCATTTATCTTGAATTATTACTTTAATTATTTACCTCCTTCCTATAAAATTTTTTGAACTTAAACATAAATATAAATACAAATAAAGTAAGAAAATATTCTATTATGTTTTCAGCCATCTGTGTACCTTTCAACACCTTCAAGTGCTTCTAAACCAAATACGGCTGCTTTTTTAAGTCCATTAGAAATCAAAGCTAAAGTAGAATCAGATGATGCAAAAAAAAATCCCTTGGATGAACTTAGAGCTCAGATTATTGAATTGCTCTGCATTGTAGAAGCGCTGAAAAAGGATCATGGGTAAGTAGCCCTTGTTTTCCTCTTTGAAAACTACTTAACACATATGTAAAGAGTTCTTTCAAATTCTATCAAGTAGAGATGAAATCTGCCAAATTTCTAGTATAAGCAAATATGTTTCCAAAGAAATTTTCATTAATAGTGCTTCCCTCCTTTCTGCAAAAAACTTGAATTAGGAAACTTGTTCTCATAGGCTTATTATGGAAAAGGTATATATGTACCCATAATTCAAGGGTAGAAATCTTCTGGTCAAACACATGGGTTAATTAGTCTTAAAAATATTAGGAAAAGTTATATTGTATTTCGGATCTGGAGTGTATATTTACTTTTCAAGAGGGACTGGATCACTGTCTCTGTTAGGGTTGAGATTGGTATGTAAATAAAACCAAGGGGTTGGGAATAAAGGAATCTTTAAAACCATTCTCTTAATTCTGAAACTTTTCAATAATAGTATATGGTGAGATCCTAAGTGAAAGGGAATTTTTAGAGTGAAAACAAATGTAAAAGTTCACCTACTATAGCTCCCCTCCTTTCTTTTAACTGAAGAAGTAAAGGTTCAGAGAGGTAAAGCTATTTATCTAAGATTATACAGTCCTTAAAAGGCAGAGCTAGAACTGAAATCATATTTTCTGTTGGTTTAGAGATATTTTTCTAGAACCGTTATTATTTGAGCTTTAGAACTTGTTAACATTAAAAAATAAATAAATATAAAAATAGAACTTAACATTTTAAACATAGTTCTACAAAGGCCCAGTAGGTAAAACAGGTCAAAGATGAGCTAATCTAACTGAACCAAGGGTGAGGGTTGGTTCAGGTGCTCTTCCCCATCTCATCTTCCCCTGTAGCTTCTAAAAGTATTTGATGGTATATGGAATCTGGTATAAAAGTCATTGCCAGAAACCATGCTGCCTCAGAGCTGAATTTACCATTTCTCCCCCAGTTCTCAGATGGCACTGGATTCTTTATTAAAAATGATATTGAGGGGTGCCTGGGTGGCTCACTCGGTAAGGTGTCCAAAACTCTTGGTTTCAGCTAAGGTCATGTGATCTCCTGGGTCATGAGATCAAGCTCCACGTCCGGCTTCATACTCATTGGGGCGTCTGCTTGAGATTCTCTCCCTCTACTCCTCCCCACCATGTGCGTTCTCTCTCTCTCAAATAAGTAAATCTTAAAAAAAAAAAGGTACTTAGATTAACAATTGATATATTTGTAGTTGCAGAGCACTTTTACAAATGTCTCTTAAGTAGAACCAAAAAATTTATCTTGAGTGACTACTTAAAAAATATATTTGCATATATAGAGAGAGAGAAAGAGAGGGAGAGACAGAGTGTTCTTAATTTGATACATGTTGGGTCTTTTCTTTACCCTTCAGTTTATCTGTCTGAGTCCTGCGGAACTTTTTTTTTACAGATTACGCAGTATACACATTATAAACTGTAAGTTCATTCATCTAGGAAGTATTTATTGAACACCATCCATGTGTAAGTTAGAGAACTCTCCTAATTTGTTGATTTTGACATTTACATTTTTGATACCAAGTCTGCTATTTTTAGTGAACTGATAATTACATTTACAAATTGCCCCTAGGTGTTCTTAAAGTAGCTGTAGGATGAATAAAATATTTATGACATATATATTTTAAAACATATATATCAGATATTTTAGAAATCTTTCCAGTGGGTGTTTTCAAAGTTATTTCCTCTGGGAAAATGAAATGGATGGCAGATTTTTTAATCTGAAAAATAAGAGCATCACAGGAGAATGGGTAAAACACATACTGGTACATTGATACAACAAAATGCTATACAGTGTACAACAAGAAAAAATAAATGGATTGTGGCTATATGTGTCAACATGAATCAGTCTGAAAAGAGGGTAGGGAAAGCAAGTCAGAGACATGCATACAGTATTATTTCATTTACATGAAGTTTGAAAAGCATATAAAATCTAACAGTGTGTTGTTTCAAGATATTATTTGTATATGTGGTAAGAAAAGAAAAGAAATAAAGACTATAGAACTTTTCCTGTGAAGGAGAGGAGGAAAATAGGATTGTGGGTCACTCTGGGTATCAGGGGTACTGGTAGGAATAATTTATTTCTTGAGCTGACTTGGAATTCTTAGGTTTTTTAATTATTTTATCTTTATAGCTTACAAATACATAGTCTTTATGCATTCAGTGTTAGAATCTAAAATGTTTGGAACAAATCATTAAAAAAATTGAAGGTTATTGACATGGAATGATTGACAGAGAAATGTATTAGTAATCTATTTCTTTACAGAGAAATATATTAGTAATCTATTTCTTTAGTTGAAAAGTTATAGAACAAGATACATAGTTTGATCTGTTCCTGTAAAAAGAAAACAATGTTACATAAAAATTTTATATTCACAAATGTGTTTTTAAAAATAAAAATGTGATAGATAAACAGCAGGATAAATATTTTTAGGAATAGATCCTCATTTAGATATAATTTAAATGTATAATAAATGCAAAGTAATAGAATAATTAGAAAATGGAAGCATTATTTAATTTAGTGGTAACATTTTAGAAATACAAAGTTAATATTTTAGCACATTTTCTATCATATACTAAAACTCTCGATACATTTAAGTATTTAAATTATAATTTAAATTGAAACAGTAGAACATTTATTCTCAATATAGAGAAATAGCTTTATAATCATTAAAACCACAGAAGAAACTAGTTTTGAAACTATAGAATTTAAAAGTTTCTTTCTGGGGCACCTGGGTGGCTCAGTTGGTTAAGCGGCTGCCTTCAGCTCAGGTCATGATCCCAGCGTCTTGGGATCGAGCCCTGCATCAGGCTCCTTGCTCAGTGGGGAGCCTGCTTCTCCCTCTCCCACTCCCCCCGTACTTGTGTTCCCTCTCTTGCAGTCTCTCTCTCTCTGTCAAATAAATAAATAAAATCTTTAAAAAAAAAAATGAATAATGGGGGAAAAGAAAAGAAAAAGAAAGTTCTTTTCTTTCTCATGTAGTCTTTCTTCCTGAGCATTTTCATGCATTTTTCAAGCTATTATTTCTATAATACTCTTGAAGAGAATTTTCCTAGCATATGTCAAAAAGCTGTGAAAATGTCCCTACTTTTTGATTTAGAAATTTGATATGCTGGTATATTCATGATAAATAAAGTTCCTGTTCTTTCCATCTCCCCCCAAAAAGCAATAACCAGAAAACCTGGATATTTGAGTGTCAAGCAACAATTATCAGAAATATAATTTTAGCAGCATGGAAATATTTTAAAATACTTTGTGAAAAGACACAATATGGAATATATACTTACAGCTGTGGAGGGAAGATGACTATATAAAAAAAGACGAGAATACAGAAAAATGCAAACATGAGTTAAGGAGGACGGATTGTTGGCTAAAGTTTTTTTGTCTATTGGTCTGGTAATTTTATTTTATTTATTTATTTATTTTTTAACGATTTTATTTATTAGAGCATGAGAGGGGGAGGGCCAGAGGGAGAAGCACACTCCCCGCTGGGCAGGGAGCCTGTTGTGGGGCTGGATCCCAGGACCCTGGGATAATGACCTGAGCCAAAGGCAGATGCTTAACTGACTGAGCCACCCAGGCGACCCTGGTTTGGTAATTTTAATGTAATATTTAATTTTAAAAAACTGATAAAGAGAAATGTAAAGTCCAGGTAACCCTGTTAAATAATACATGTTTTGACATTACCAAATTGCTTGGGCTTTAGAGTGTCCAGCCTGGAAAATGCATGATAACTGAATATGGAAAATTCTTCTAAAGGCCAATTATTATTTCTTTATTTTATCATGAGCTGCTTTCTCTATTCACTTAAATTCTTTATCACAGGTAGGTTTGCCATGGCATTGCTGAGTTTTGTTTTTTTTTTAATGTTGTATTGAACCATTCCATTAGTGAATTTGAAATTTTTCTTGATCAATATGGCTATTTTCTTTAAAACATTTTCCCCATGTTTTGGTATGTCAGGTAACAGAGATCCCGTTTAATTAGTCAAATATATTGTTTAAATGAAAGACTTAACAGTAATAAATAAGTTTGTTTTTAGGAAAGAACTGGAAAAACTACGAAAGGATTTGGAAGAGGAGAAGGCAATGAGAAGTAATCTGGAGGTAATTCATTTCTCCTAACATTGATTGTAGTCAGCATAAACTAGGTGTGTTTTCCCATCTCTGCTAGGTGATTGGGTTCACTACAAATTATGCTTTCCTACTTCAGTTGGACACTCCCTGCTGCTTGATAGCCATTTAACTAATCTCTTGGTGACTCCCTGTCACATTCCATTCATTCATGCAGCAAATATTTTTGAGCAGTAGCTCTCAGGCAATGTGTGAGAGGCATACATAAGGTATATATTCATAAATAAAACAAACAAGGTTCTGGCCTTGTAAGAGTATGTAGTTCTAGATCTTTTGCATTCTTGCTTTCTTGAACTATTTCTCTTTTTTTTCCACAGTTAAACTTTTTTCTTTTTAATTCTTTTTTTCTGCCTGGAGGCAAGGGTGGTAGGGGTGAGGGTGGTAATGGGATGGCTATAGATTTGTTGACTTGATTTCTCACTGAGCATTTACTTCATAACTATAAAGTCATCATCTTCACTCTTTGCTGATGACTACAATTTCACTTATTTTCCTTAACTTTTTTTCCATCTGCTCCATCCATGGTTACTTTGGTCTTCATTTGTATTCTTATTTTCTGCATATTTCAGAGAACGTGTACTCTGCCTTTTTTCAGAGGCTCTTCCCATTCGGTACTTAAGTATTTCATGTGCCTCCCTATTTTGACCTTGCCTTATTGCTTACCCTATTGTTAGCATTGTGAAACAGAAAGAACATGGGCCTTGGTAAAAACAAAACAAAACAACAAAAACCTTGAGCCCCTCTTCTGACTTACACTGGTGACTTTCAGCTCTAAACTATGTGTCAGTTAGGCTTGGCACCTCCTGTACGTTATCTCAGTGGACACACATAACAACTTGTAAGGATTATTGTTCCTATTTTAAGGATGAGGAAACTAGGGTTTAGAGTGATTAAATCAGCAGTTGGGCTGAAATTTTTAACAGAAACAGCCAGACTTAAGAAACTTTGCTCTCAGGGATTAAGTTATACTGTTTGAACTTGAGGAAGGCACTTAGCTGCGTTTTAGTTTTAGTTGTTGAGATAATATATGTGAAGGTCTTTGGTAAATTATCAAAACTCCATTTTCACTCTTAAATCTGACGTATCCCTTTTATTGTCACTTTCCCTTTTTCCATGAAAACACTCAATTTTTCCCCTTTTTCAAAAAACCAAAGTCCTCTTTCAGGTCCAGCTGCCCTCTTAATCTGTAGTTTTCACTTTTCATTTGCGTTTCATTTGCTGCAAAACAACCAAAACTCAACGTTTTAGGTTTACTGAAGGCAACTCCAGTGTCTCCAGTTTCTACAGCATTTCACATTTTTAAATCTGTTGCCACTTTTTCTGTCCTGGTTTATGTGATCTACGTTCTTTGGTTTCAGTCCACTTCTCAGCCCCCTCTTTTCTCTAAGTGAAATGTTGCTTCAGAGCTGCCCTTGGCCCTCCTCTCAGCGTCTCCTCACTCTTTTCATACCTGTGGCCTCAAGCATCGTGATTAGCTCTCGTCCCTCTCCCATCGGAATCTGATTCTCTTTTCCCAGCTTCTGTCCTGTTTCCAGCTGCTCATCTCCCTGGATGACCCGCTGTGATCTTAGAACTAGCATGTACCCTTTTACGTTTATCATCTTCCTTTCCTGCTTTTCCGATTTTCTCTTTCTGTTGATCATTTCATTGCATTTCAAGTCTTACGTAGTACTTCCATTCTCGTTCCATTCACATTCAGGCCAGTTAGCTTTACTCCCTCACCTTTATCTCCTTGTTCCTAGTATTTCTGTTCTTTTCCCATGCTCTTTATCTTCTCTTTAGCTATTTAAGTTTCTCTCATTCTTATCTCAAATTAATCTTCCTTTATTTAGTACTTTCAAGAACTTTCTGTTACTTGCTGAATAAAGTTCAGACTTCTCAACTTAGCATGTGAGGTCTTTCATGTCTTGGTCCTAGTTTATCTTTTCTTGCTTGCTGATCCTCAGTTGTCCCTCACAGTTAATTCGTCTGAATTTTTGCTCTTACTGTATTTTCTTGGATTTTCCTTTTATTTCATCTTCTCATGCATAAGTTCTACAGATTCTCAAAGCTTCCCTCCAGCAGTCACCCTCATTAAGTTAGTACCCATCTTCCTCTGATTTAAAAGTAATTTTGTCTTCTTCCAAATTCATGTCCTTTATTTTGAAAAGATTAAATAAGTAATAATTTTCTATCTTATCACTGTGACATTATGGACTTATTTTGCCCATCTTCTAGACTGTAAGACTGTTTGAGGGTGTATCTGTCTGTTCCATCTTTGTCCATAGTCCTAGCAAAGTGCTGTACACATATTAGATAGCTAATTTTTGTCAAAGAATACATATTAAAAATGCCTTAAATTCCCAGAAATTCAGAAATTAAAAACAAGTTTCTTGATTTTTATTTCTTGTATTTCCTACATACACATATTCATATATGAAAATAAGGTGTTATAAGCAAGAGGAACTAATACAGTGTTAAATTTCTATATATGATTTGTCATAAAAATCATAAGTCAAATGAATTATTTCATTTTTGAAGAATTTTATTTGATTCAACTTTTTAGCAAAATCAGCTGTTACTTAGACTTGCACTCATTTGCATTACAATTTTTTTTATTGCCTAATGGGGAAAGTTTGACCCTCGTATTTATAAGAGCACACCTAATAAGACAGAGTTTTAAGATCATACATTGAAAGGAGAAATTCTATTTCCCTAAAGATTAAAAGTAGTACTTTGAACTATGAAGTTAACATACAGTATTAAATTATACTGAGGAATGATAAAAGGACTAAAGATGAACAATGAACATAAAAGTGCTAGGAGAGGAGCTCTAGCAGTAAAAATATTTGCTTGATATCTAAATTTATGTGACAGTCTATAAGGAGTATTATTGATTGAGTGCAGGGTTATTCTTTCTGTCCCCTACTCCTTTTTTCACCAGCGTTTTTTTTTCCCCCCATTTTCTTTGCATCCTTGCTTGTTAAAATTGGTATAGTTGGTTCATGTATCTTTGGAATAGAGATGATAATAGCACATCATGTTGAAGATTGAAGGTATTTTGTCTCAATCCAGGCTGAAGACCAAGGCTTGTCCCAAAGTAGTGCTGTTAAAATATTTACCTAATAATCATATTAGTAGAAGATTAATATCAGGAAAGATCCTAGAATTAACAAACCATATGTTAGAATCCCTTAGGAGATTCTGAGCATACTGAAATTATACATTTTGACTGGCAAAGTGCTTATCATTTAATTATGAATTATTTGTCAGAGGTTAGCTATAGCATGTATTACTTGTATGCAGCATTGGGGACAGGGATGATGCTATCAGGAGAAGGTAAGGCCTAAATATTTCCACATGCAGTGAAAGGTCAGAGATCATCAAAACCTTTCATAATTGGGAAGAGTAAAAAACTGGCCTTCAGAGCCTTAGACCCAATCAGTGCAAGTTCTGTACCACTTGCTAGTGTGGACACTTGGCATGGTATTTAATCATGATTTGTAATATATCAGAATTAAATAACCACAGTTATTGTGAACATGTATTGAATTTTCCTAATTCTCTTAAGTTTCTTAAATTGTGAATTTCTGTTAAGTGAAGGATGTCTTCTGTCTAAAGGTGGAAATATTTCCAACACATTGAATCTTAGATATATTCCTGGGTTTTAAAAAGAATTTAATCTAGAACATACCGTTTACAGATGAGGAAATTGAGACCAAATGAGGTTAAGGGATTTGCCAATTTCACTAGGTAGTAAGTGAAAAACATAGGACTAAACTGGTCTTTATTATTATCATTTTCCAGTTCTTTACTGCCACCCCCCCTTTGTTTAATTACAGGTACTTGTACGTTTCTTAATTTGGTTTCAAGGATGTTCTTGTTCTTTGGAGGGCTGATTTTATGACAGTATTTTTTCAGATAATCCCATTCCTTAATATTGTTCTGGCTGAAACAACTGTAGTTGCTGTTTTGTGGTTGTCTCCTGCCATTTAGGAACTGTATTAGGAACTTGTGGTGTGTTCTTCTGTTAAACTTTTTCTTTATTGATCACACCATTGGAAATTGGATTTTAGAATGGAAATAAAAATCTGAAGTCTTCAAAGTATGATTGGATCTTAATGACATAGGATAAAATAAAGAAATTTGTCTAAAGATATTTTATTTATTGTCAACTTATGTTTTATATCTTAGGTGGAAATAGAGAAGCTGAAAAAAGCAGTCCTGTCTTCTTAAAATGGCATGGCCCCGTGTTCTTAAGGTTCCAGGGATTCAGAAGCAACACTATGAACTTCAACTGACTTGTTACTTAAAAATAACAAATGCTGTTGTCCTGATAAAGAAATATGAGTATTTGAACTATAATCTATAGAAAAGTAGGGAGAGGGTGGATTTTTTTTATATATATTTTGTTTTGCCAATATGAAAAAAGAAAAGGCCTTATTTCTTATGTGCTGGAATTGCAAACTTTTTTTTTTTTAGTTTGCTTGAAAATACTACTGAATCTGTATAAAAAGGAAAGAAAGTTCACAATAGTTTTTTTATTGAAACTTGTAGTATTATTTTTAAAGAGATCTATACTATAAATATGGTGATATCTTTACAAATAATCTGTAAAATATACTATTTGAAAGGGACAAATTAGCTTTATAGTAACTATAGCCACTACTTTTCCCATAATACATAAGGGATATAAACTTTGTATATATATATATTTTTTACTTTTAGCTTCTTACCCAGGATTACACTGTTGTGCCTGTTTGTTTGCAGTGCTGTTTATACTCTGGGTGATGAAATAGGAGTTTCCTAGCTATAAACCAGATTATTCACCCAAGCATATAGTAATAACTAATGAAACAATCAAAATAATTTCTTCAATTTTTAGAATATTTTATATTGCTTGCACTATAGGATTCATAAAAGGAATTTAGTTAAAATATATTGGATTGTTAACTATATTTGGGAAAATATGAGCTATATTTTAAATTCATTAGGTCGAGGAACTAAAAATGTCAGTTTAACCCTTAACTTGTGCCTAGAAACTACAGCACATATAATATGCAAACACCAGCCTTATTGCTGTACTTTTCTGCTTATTTTACAGGCTCAGAGATTACTCATTTTGTGATCTTGTGATTGAGTTGTTCATACTCCTCCCTCTGATTTTTAATAATGGTAATATGAGGAGAACAAAACTCAGAACACTGAGAACTTCGGTGTGAGGTTTCATACTTTGACAAATTATCATCGTGTAAATACTCAGGTTTGACAATGTGTAGTTTACCTAAAAGGCCAAACTAACTGGTGGAGATATTTTAGGCTGTCATTTAGGTACCAGAGTGTTAGTATATCATAAAACATAACAGTACAGCTTATTTAAAACCAAATACAGCTGACCATATTCAAAATGCATTTTCACAGGATGGATGAATTAGTAGTTTCTTCAGAGTCACTTATGAACAGTTGAACGTTTTAAAATGTTTCTATAGATAACCTGTCTTAAAATATGTGGGTTTATATTAAAAATAGAAAACTTGACTTTTCATTTATAAGAAAATTAGATTTTAAGCTTTATTATAGCAAAGACTTTCAGATTTTGAGTACCACCTATCATGCTTCCGTTTTGTGTTATTTTAAACGACCAAACCAATATTTTCCCTTTAAGTTTTAATCTTATATACTGAAATCTTGTGTTAATGAAATTTTGCCATGTTGTCTCACATAAAAGAGAACTGAAGTAGAAAATAATAGAAATTCCAGGAATTACTTAATGTTAAATTCAGGAAACATGATTGTGCATTGAGTATGTACATTTTAACTCTTTAAAGTCCTTGGGCTTTTCTGATTAGGTCACTACTGAACAAAATTGTTTACTCCTATTCTAATATTTTTAAATTGACTTGTTGAATGATTTCCTTCTTGCTAAAAAAATTAGATTTTTTAAATTTTATTATGTTATTTAGATTTTATTTTCTTTTAATTGTCCTTAGGTAGAAATAAAAACATTGTGTTCTAGAAATCATTCTCCAGCTTTCTGACTGGAACATCTATTAAGTGACCCCTCCTCACCCTGATAATGGGGTGAGGGAAGTTTCCAGCAGATTTCAGACTGTTCTTAAAGTTTTTCTTGGTCATTTTCTCACTAGTGCATAAAATGAAGGTGGTCATGAATGCTGACATACATTTAAAGTATCTGCTTTGTATACTCCTCAGTCAGAATAGAAATTAAAGTACTTTGTCTCTATTAGAAAATTATTGTGGCTCTATTTTTCTGCCCTTGATCAAAAAGTAAAGTTCTTAAAGCCAAACTCAAGGGAAAAATGATTACTTCAATCTAGCAATTTACCAGTATTTGCTCTTGATGTGGGAATTTTATTATTTTTATTCATAAAGTTCATATCACAAAATAGCCTTTATTTGGGGATAAATTATTGTTTTTTCTATGAGTGAGTATAAATGACAGACTAGAGATGAACAGTATAGAATCTGTCATTGCCAAATTATTAGTGAATGTATTTTTCAGGTCCGCTATTCTTTGAAACACATAATATTACTAATTTTCCTACTTGTATTTCAATATTGGAAGTATTGTGTGTGTGTGTGCGCTTGCTTGTGCAAGCTTTAGTGGTTGGTCTTACTATAAAGCTGTTACCTCTTTACAAAATTTAAGTCTGAAGATAGGAAGAGAATGGGGGTTCTCTTTTTTATGCTTTACTGTGATCATGGGGCGGGGGGGGAAGAAACCCAAGTGCTCTCTTGAGTTGTTGGTAAATATTTTGTGCTTGCGTTTAAACTTGAAATGTATGAACAGAATAAGACAATCAGTTAAAATCAGAAATGAGAAGCGTTAAAAATTTAATGGCCTTGTTTTGCTGTAGCAATAAAATGACCAAGTGCAATGATTTGATTTAATAAAATCATCTTTTAAAAGTTGCTGCTATGAATATTTTTAGCCATAAAACTTTACCCTTGTTTTAGCCTGACTTGCCTTCAGTAACTATTATGTAATGCAGTTGGTGTTGTGGTATTCTAACATTCCAAAAAAATAAAAATAATATATATGTGGGGAAACTCAAAATAGTATACTTCACTGACTTGTTTACAGGTGCTGTAAAAAAGCATGCTTCTCCCTCAAAAAGAAAAACAATAAAGAATAGTATTGCCAGTTGTGTTGGTCTTTATTAATTTTTCATTAACATCAGCATATGTTTATTGCAGAGTATGATGAAAATTCTATTACTTTGAGTTTTCCAAATAAGAGAAACAATGTAAATAGTAAAATGAAAGCATTAAAAGTTCTAGACCTATGTGACTTTTACTGAACCTTTGTGAGTCTCTTTTCCCCCTGAAACTATGAGATGATAATTTCTACCTCACAAGTTTATTGGGATAATTTGAAATGATTTATATAAAGTATGTTGCAGAATACTTGGCGTAGAGTGGGGTTTTGTTTTTTTTTTTTAGTGGAAGCTTGTGTTGTTCTCTTCTATGATGTAAATTAGATAAGATTTAAAAGAAAGGCATAGTAGTTCTTCTCCCCCTGTTTTTGAGTACAGCATCTCTTTCTTTTGGGGGAGATAGCTCCTTACATTTGCATTATATTCAAATAGAACTGCTACCATCTTAAGGATTCTGCCTCCCTGACCACCCAGTGATTGACCCAAGGGAGAGTACTTTGCCCAAATTGAGTTCCTGACTTAAAAGACTGAGATTGTAAAAATGTGGAAGAAAAAAAAATTTTTTTCCTTTTTTTTTTTGAAACAGCACTGGTCTCAGCATGGGAGTGCTCTCAGTTAATAGTCTGTCATCTGGAAAAAGCTGATTGGGAAGAACAGATCTTTAAATAGAGAATAAAGAGATGGAAACAATCCAGAGAATTTTAAAACCAATTAGTCATTCCTAAATCCCAGCTGTCCATCCACTGCTTGGTTCCTTAAGCATAAACTTGCTCTTAAATTTTTTGGGTTTCTGATCTCACAACTGGAAGTCCTGATAAAAAAAAAGTCCAGAACACATCAAGGCCCATGTACTCTTGCTGAAAATATGCCACATACACGACTAAGTTTCTTAGAAATCCACCTGACGATTTGAATCCTAGAAAAGGAATGACACCAGTATGAAGTAATACAGAAAAAAAAAAATGTGGCAAGTCATTTAAGTTAAAAATGTAGTTTGAAAATTCCTACATGCTTCTTACTGGCCTTGATAAACACTAGGCATAAATTAAGCCTGCCAGGCACAGGATGGTGAAGTTTGGATTATAGAATTTTATTTTTTATTTTTATTGGTGTGGGAAACAAAGGCAGAAGGAAATGTAGATAAAATTAAATGTCCTTATAACCTGCAGCCCATTGACAAATACTTGAGGCCGGCAGAGTATAATGTTCCTCCAGGAAGCTCCCAATTGTCTTAGTATTAATATCTTGCTAGAGGGAAAAAGAGCCTTGGTTTGACAACAGCAAGACCTCCAGTATCCTGTGAGTCTTCTTTAGCATAATGAAAATCCTTTGGACACTTCCCTTATCTTTACTTCCCCCACCCCCAAAGTATAAAATCAGTTGCTCCTCACAGTCCCAGGGCCTCAGCTCCTTCTTGTCCCCATGCTTTAGTAAAACCCTTTTTGTACCAAACATGGCTCTAAAATCTTGGCCATCGACTCCAGAACCTCACCAACATTCCGAAACGACATAATTGTTTTTTGGATTATAGAATTTTAATATTTGAAGGGACATTGAAGAGGAACAATCCAATCCCTGTGCAGATGGTTTTATATGAAAATACAATTTGCAGGTTTAGTCTAATTCTAGGAAATAAAAGCAGATAGCAGTTTAACTCAAATGAATCTATTTGGCTTTATTACTTGCCAGTTAAGATTTAGAGAGTAGACTGGGTGGGTCTTGGTGTTAAAATTTATTTCTGAATACTAAACATTGCTTTCATTTTGCCACTAAGACCTTTATTGTGACTATGCTTGTGTGTATATATATATATATATGGAAAATATTTAGAAATAGGTATCAGTATTTTTTTGTATAGAGCCAATATCTTTTCTATCACAGAAGGTGTTGTGGTTTTCATTTTGCAACTATTGGGTGGTATTTTTTTTCCTATCAGGTTACAAGTGTTTTTTATTAGCTACATTTCAGTTCCTAAAAAATTGTGTGAATAAAGTTATTAAAAGTAAAACTCATTTTTAAACAGTGTACTGAGTAACTTAATTCTTCAGTAAAGAAAAATCACTTAACATTTCATAGTATATAGTGTATTTTTAGAACTATTTAAAACATTAATTGAACAGAATGCAAATACAATCTGATATGACAGAGTAATGACATTTTTACTCCTCATCTCCCTTGAAACTGACTAAAAACAAACAGGATGAAAAATAGATTTAGTAGATTAAAAGAGAGATGTAAAATAAAAACATTGCTCTCCGGGCGCCTGGATCACTCTCTGGGCGCCTGGGTGGCTGTCGATAAACATCTGCCTTTGGCTCAGGTCATGATCCCAGGGTCCTGGGATGGAGCCCCACATTGGGCTCCCTGCTCAGCTGGAAGCCTGCTTCTCCCTCTCCCACTCCTGCTTGTGTTCCTGGTCTCGCTGTCTCTCTATCAAATAAACTCAAAAAAATATCGCTCTCCAATAAGGAAACAACCACAATTTATAATTAAAAAAATAACCTCCCAAATGCTTTGAGATTTGGAACAAAATGAGGGACAGCCTGAAGACTGACATAAGCCTCCCCAGACCTGTGTCAGATGCAGATTCCTCTGAAATGTTTATATGATCATCTTAGGCCCAAATCCTGTACGGCAGAATGGCAGGGGACATGGGACTGAAAGAGAAGCCACACTAACTATTAATTTCAAGGCTGAAAACCAAGGGGAGGGAGACATATTCTTAGGAAAGAAAACAGCTCTGATGAGAGCGTGATTAGGTAACAGACGGAATTAAAGCTACGTTCCCTCCCTCCCTCGTCGAGCTCCCTGAGCTAGTCAGCAAGTAACCGACACTGTTCAAAGGTGAGTAATCAGACGCACTACACACAAGGACCTTTTTAGATGCTTGTGCTATATTCAAATGTGTAAAACATTGTCCTAAAACAAAGGCTTGATCCTGCAAATAGAAATCCCTGTGACACCCAGGCACCCCTAAGTGGTCAGTTTAATTACCCTAAGGTTAACAGGAAATTTATCTTTAAAAATAGGTATCATGTCAAATACTGAGCTAATGTATGCATTGTGCTTACCATGTTCCAAGCACTGTTGCAAGTAACATTTGTCTGTCATCTATCATGTATCTTGGCAATTTTATGTAATAGGCACCATTGTTACCCTGCACAGATGAGGAAACAGGCTTGAGAGACTAAGCAACTTGGCCAAGGCTGCTGGGCTAATAAGAGATGGAGCTAAACCCAGACAGGTTTTGAAGCCTGTGTTCTTGATGGTATGCTAGCCCTACATAGATAATGTATGGGAAAGAAGGAGCCTGAATTGGAAAATTCTATTCTTAGTTTTTTCAAGTCTTCGTAATCCTTTATATTATTTATTAAATGTTTCCATCAGTGAGGGAGACTAGATAATTTACAAAGTCCATTTTCAGCGATCTCAGAGTCTGTTTAGGTTTCTTTGTGTGATGCGGTCACATACAAGATTTTAAGGAACATTCTCTGTTTCTTTGCAAATGTTAAGTGATTTTCATGGCTTTTCAGTCAAGGTGGGGAAAGAAAAGCCTTACTTGGTTCCCATAAAGAAATGACCACTAGATGGTAGTCAAATAAAGCTCAGCTGCTTTTTGTGTCTTGAGTAAACCACAAGGCTTGTAGAAGCTGCAAATAAAATCTTTGGACTCCAGCCCTTTGAATTCATGCAGAAGTAGGACACAAGCACCACACTTTTCCTAGCCTAGCCACTTCTGCTGAGTTCCACATGATATAATGAAAAGAATTGAGGCTTTGGAGTCCAAGAGATCTGGCTTTGAAAACTGGCTCTAAAAAATTAGTAGCTGTGTGAATTTGGCATATCACTCATTCTTATCTCTTCCCTGATATTTTAGGAGATTTTTAAAAAATTACTCTTATAACTTAAAGCCTTTCCCTCTTACCATACTCAGAGAAGAGAGAGAAAGGGGGCCCTGAGCGCTTTGTATTTGATTTTTCCCTGAGCAAACAATCTCATCACAACAGCAACCAAAACCATCTTTGTCCTGTTTGTTGATACCATGAAGGCTCCTCTGAACCCAGGCTGCTGTAGTGGTTCTTCAGCTCTTCTCACACATGTGATCTGCTATTGTCCACCCTTGCTTTGCTGGGAGCTGCTTCTGTTTCTCCATTTTGTCCTGCAATGTGTTCCTATATCAACCAGGCCAAAGACAACAAATCTCCTCCACGGGCACTTAGGAAACAAGCTCACAAAATAGCTTGTGCTGTGGGCTTCTTACGGAGA